GCTTAAATACACACACACAGCTGGCGAGAAACTGGCTGAGACCGTAAGCATAGTGCGAACATTTGTTATTGCAAGATGTGATTTCCTTCTTGCCTAAAGAAGGTGGTAGTAAGATCTCTGTGAAGAATTATTCCAAACGTTTGCCATATTGGATGATTTTCAGCCATTCTTCTATTCTTTGGCGAGGTGGTAGAACATGTGACTTTTTTCACCTCTAGCCATTTCTGGATGAGGTGAATTATCTAGATCCATTTCAATCTGACTTCATCTGTGATTATGGGACATAAGCTGTTTTGGTCAACTTGGAGCTTGATCCAAACCAGGAACTGGATAGCCAAGTGTATCCCTCTTGATTCTGCTGGACTTCTCAACAACATTCATTCCCAACAACATTCAACATGCATTGACTATGGTATTCTACTGAGGTATCTGTCATAGATGGGACTAGGAGGCACTGCTCCATTGTGATTCCAGTCCCTCTTGCAGGAGTGATCTCAGCAGGTGATGCAGGGGATTCCTATTTGCTGCCATGGTCATCGGCCTGTTTTGTTGCTTCTTCTTATCTGCCACTCTATTTACATGAATCCACTGGGAAAGTTGTCTGGACTTTGGGGGTTTCATGCCACAAGTATGCTAAGGGTATCCAACTCTTTTTCTCCTTTTCAACTAAATCCAAGGAAGCTGATCTAGTTTTATATCAGTGTCTGATGTCAATAATGGACTGGATAAGGGCTTGATTTGAAGCTTAATTCAAACAAGGGAGAAATACCCCTGGATAGAGAATAGGAATTCAACCTGTATTGTATGGAGATGCACTCCTCTTGAAGATTCAGGTGCACAGTGTGGGTACACTCCTAGATTCAGCCCTGAATCAGGATCCCCAGATCTGAGGCTAGAGAACCAACTTTGCATCTTCCTAGTGATATTTGATCAAGCCATGGCTGTGCATACCATAGTCAGTTACATCCTGTTTGGCTTACTGTAACTTGCTCAATGTGGGACTGACTTTGACCAGCATCAGCCAGTCACTTGCTATCAGCACAATCCCATTAAAATTCAATTTTAATCTGCATTTTGTTTTTAGCCACTTTACGCACTCTTTTTGGCAGAAATGCAGAATATAAGTAACCAAATAAAATAAAACCAGAGGCAAACAGGTGTGCATCTATCAATGTCTGGCACCCATCCCTACAATCCCTTCAACACTCCCCCATTCCAGCATATTAAAATAACTTGGCCAGAAATGTTTCAATGAAATATTGCCTGTGGAATTCATACTACTGAAACTGTCCAAGAAAATCTAGAGAACAGAAGCCACTCCCTTGGAAGCCTCCAGCATTTACACACCTTTCTCCAAACCAGCATAGGTCTGAGTGCTCAGACTAATGTTAAAGATAGTGATTAATTACATCAAAGCTAGACAACTGGCTCCATCTAGTGGAGGCTTCTTGCAAATACAGCCAGCTAATGTATAGAGGAATTCCCTGCATTCTGTCACCCTTTATTTATCACAGAGCAGATAGATGCAACTTTAGAGTAGCAATTGTGCGTTCCAAACACTTTTCATACTTCGTGTTGCATCTGCCTTCACCCAAGTCTAAGACAACTATGCACTGAACCTACTGAAGACTAAGTGCTTAGGAATAGCCTTGATTTCCAATGACTAGTCACCAGGCTGGAGACTTAGGCCATACTCTCAAGGCTTATTGTGTAAATGTACATAAACATATTTATGTATTTATTTTATTTAAAATGTTCTATACTGTCTTTCATTAAAAAATCTCATGATGGTTTACACAAGAATTGATTAAACAGTTTTTTTTAAGTGTGTGTAAAGAGAGAGATGATAAGAGATGCACATAATTCTATCTGGATTTCTAACAGAAAGTCTCCTTCCATAGACTCCTGCCCAGCCTTTCAGATCATCAGTGGAGGTCCTTCTCCAAGAGCCCTCCTTGAAGGAACTGAGTAAGGCTGTTACTAGGAGAGGGACCTTCTCGGCAGCAGCCCTGATTGTGCAATATGCTCCCCAGGGATGTTTTCCTGGTTCCAACTCTTTACTCATTCAGTTGGTTTTCATAAAATCTACTGTATTTTAAATCAAGTACTGTTGCCTAGTTCTAATCCTTTTCTTTTGTACACCATTTTGAGATTTTTTTGAAAATATAAGATGGTATAGAAATATTTAATAAGTTATGGAAGGTGTGGAAAGTAGAAAGGTTTTCAGGCAGTAATCTGTATTGGTTGAACAGAATTAACAGGTTTCTGTATTCTAAGTATATTATGGAGAAAGTATAGTTTTTCTCCCTCTCATAAGATTAGAACCCAGGGTTATTTCATGATGCTCAATTGTGGGAAATTCAGGACAAAGAATGTCTTTACATAGGACATAGTTAAACAGTAAGTTCTGCTATCACAATAGTAAGTATATACTTCTATATGCCACAGTATGTGGTGATGATTAGACAAAGGAGGCTCAGAAAGGAATTAAACTCATGGAGGATAAGGTTATCAATAGCTGTATGCTTTCTCCGCTCTCAGGGGCATACTTCTGCATACCAGATTTTGAGAACCGTAAGTGGGGGGTGCCATTGCACACATACCCTGCTTGTGGGCTTCCCATAGACATCAAGTGGGGCCACTGTGTGAAACAGATTGCTGAATTAAATTGGCCTTTCATCCTACGCAGCACAGTTCTTTTCTTCTTACGGCAATTAGGCTGTAGTCCTACATTCATTCATCTGGGAGTAAGTCCCACTGAAGTCAATACAATTTCTAGTAGATATGTGTAGGACTGTTGTTACAGAAACTGTATGATAAAAAGTCTTAACTTTCACATGTGTAACCAAATAACCAACATGGAATATATAAAGGCCTTTTTTCAGATTCTGTTTTATTAGAATGAAAGAATCTATCTGGTCACCCTTATATCTAAGGCTGTGCGCATGTGCATGCACATGTGTGCAAACAACTCCCATGATAATCAAGCCTTTGGACTACTGAACAAATTCTGAAAGCACTAAAATGGCATAAGGCAGGAATACAGGGAGCAGTCCTTTAAATATAATAGCCCAATTTTATATTGTAATACTTCTGGTCTGAGTTCAATACAGATGCAAATGAAACTGTCAGGCAATGCAGTTATTCTCTATGCTTTCTCCATAGTCCAAGAGAACATGGTGCACACTCTGGGTTATGACAAGTGAATTAGTACACGCAGGTCTTTGGTAGCAAAATGTAACTGATTCTCTTCCATGAGAAAGTCCTATTCTCATAACCATTTTAGCATGTGAAGGGCAGGAAGAAAAAGTCAGCCTATGTTAACTTAATAGTATCCAACCTCCAGCTTTTGGTCCTCTACTAGGTGATCCACACTAAAATGTGGGTTAGCAGTACTGTGTAAGAAGCAAAGCCCTTAACAAAGCAACAGGTTCATACAAGCAGTTTAGTAGCACAGCTGGAGTCATAGCTAGCAGCTCTGAGAGCGAGAGGTGTGTGCAACTTAAGTGTTCGATTTTAGACTACAGAGAATTGTGTTTCAAGCCCCTACCCAGCTCCATGTCTCATTAGGTGACCTTGTATCTTAATCAAATCTATCTTGTATTTGTGTTGAGGAAAGAAGGGAAGATCCATCTATGTTGCTTTTTCTTCTTTGGAGAAAGAGTGGGATATAATTACCCCTTCTCTCCCTCCAACCACTTTTCCTCAGCACTCTGGATCTAATAACTATTCAGGGCATGGCTTTATGCGCCAGTTGCCTCCATATTGGATTATGATTCTACATACTGCCATTGTAGATGGTACAAAACCTTCCCTTGGTCTAAAATGCACTGGCCAGACTTCTGCTTGCAGGTCAAATTATCTTTCTCCAATTTGCCTCTGGCTTTCTGTTTCCAGGTTCCTCTCTATTTTGGTTAGGAACTCCTTGTTCTTCATAGGTCCACCTATGAATTAAGAATTAAGATCATTGTCAAAGGCCCTGCTTCCTGGACCATGTCAGGATATTTGATGAGTAAACTCATAAAGGGGCCTTTTTTGTGGCAACCATATGATTTTGGAATGCTCCCCAAGTTGAAATCCACCAGGAACTGTTCTTGTGTATCTTTTGATAGAAACTGAAGAAACTTCTGTTTTGATTAGCATTTTATACTCCACTCTGCATTATTTCTGTCAGTGTTTCATTTTCGAAATTTTGAAGTAGTATTGAAGTTTCTTGCCACTGCTTTTAGAAATGTGTTACTTGCACTTTTATTATTCGTACTGCAAGAATGGGAAGTAAATAAAAGATTGGTATTATTTAAAGGGGTGATTAGCAGATCTGTAGTCAGCAAGCACATCCATCAGTTCCTTCCTTGTGGCTAGAGCTGCATGGTAGCACAAAGGATGAATCCCCATCTGAAGTTCATCAAAGCACCAATTCAAGGCCTGAGCCAACACAGGGAATGAATAATGTAGAACAGCCTTCCCCAGCTTGCTGGACTTTAGAGGCATTTGGACTGCAACTCCCAGAATTCTCATCCAGCAGGGCCACTGACAGGGAATTCTGGCTGTTGCAGTCCAAATGTGTCTGGAAGACACACGTTTAGGGAAGGCTGATGTAGAGGAATAAATGCTTACATCACAACATGGGGGTGGGGGCAGAAACATGATTCTTCCATGTGATTTGAATCCTACTCATGTGGTTCCTTAATTTCTACTTTGCCTGAGCAGCCACTGCTGGTAAATACCCAAATCCCCCAGCTTGTATTCATTTTGGCACAATTTGTTTTAAAATCATAAAATCTGGAAACCTCTTTCATCAGACTTCTCTGTTACACAGTTAGGGTTGTATCTAATGTTTGTCCTAATTAGAGTGAATCTAGGGAAATGAAAGGGCTGGTAAATGAATATTCGGTACTACTTTAGCTAGCCTTTCTTACAGTAAAGTCAGCTTTGGTTTTGTATCTGACAGTGACACCAAACAGGAAGATTTCTTTCTAAGGTATCACACAAAAACAAACTCGGATGTATTAGGTGTCTTTAATTCAAAATGGGGGAAAACAGATTAAAGAACTTGTTTCAGCAATGAGACACCAAAAAAGTAAAACTTTTTTCCTTACAAATTAAAATTCCATACAGTGTCTAAAATGTCACCTAAAAGCTAGACCTTTCTTTTAAAAAAAGAAAAGAAAGTATGTGTTTTGAAACATTAAAATGCCAGTGAAACAAGTGTTGCAAAAGATACTCATTCATGGACTAAAGATATACAGAAGTGTAGGGGAAAGCGATTGACCACCAGCATAATGAGGCAAACTATTATGTGAAGGAACACTTTACCCTCTTCTAAGATAACAGTTAAAATAAGAGTCAAGATTCAAGAGAACATGGCTTTAGGCAAAAACAGTGAAGCAGAATTCCAGCTGAAGTCTGTGGCCCATATAGATTCCATCGTCACTTCTTCAAACTACAGCTGAGGCCTTATGCTTTTCTGGGCAGGACCCCTGTTATCTTCTCATACTGTTGACATCTGTGCCATGTGGTCAAGCAATACCCAGGGATCCACCAAGCAAAGCCCCATTTTTGCAATACTTCCATTTCTCATTGTATCTTGCACAAGAGAATGGGCAGCTGGGCTATCGACCCTGTATGTTTCAAGTTATACTTCAATGGGAAGTGTATCTCAGATTTGAGCCTGTGCTATGAATTCCCATTGAGTTGCAATTTCCCGGTAAAGCCAAGCATTAGGGCTGCCAAAAACAGCGACAAGAACAGCAACAAAACAGTCACAACAAAATGTTCATTGATATGGATGCCATGAGCCTGTAACTTTACAGCATGAGATCAGTTGAAATGCACCCAGGACACAGGCTTTTTCCCCAAGTGAGGTGGTGGTGGGGACTGGGCAACAGGCCATAGTCTGGCTTATACTCCAGGAAGGCTGTGTCAGCAAATGAAACAGAACAATCGTCAATGACTCAACAAGCTCCTTCTCCTTTGCCCCAGCCACCCAAATACCCTGAGATCATAACTGAATTCTGGGTGCATCACAGATTCCACCACTACCTGTCAAGGTAGAATACAGAAGTGGGTGCCTTCCTGCCCATACTTAGAGACACCTCATATACCTCCTGCCACATTATTACATACAATCCATAAACACACAAGTGAGTAATCCTGTGCATACCCAGGTAGAAAGAGGCTTCCAGTTTAAGGTTTCTGTCTAGCACTTTGGACATTTTATCAATAACGTTGAAGAGCTGCAAACTAAGCTTAAGGTCCAAGAACAAATAAATTGTTCCTGGTGTTAAATGAAGACCAGTGTCAACAATGCCTGCAACAGCCCTTCTTTGACACAAAACTGAAAGCCTTTTAACTCTTAAAAACAAACCCAACAACAACAACCAACTTAGCACTTGACTGTTGACTGTCTGGATTTCAACTCTACAGTAGTTTTAAAAATATATAGATATATATTATTAACCCTTAAATGGTGATCACAGGAATTTCAGTGTCTCTTTGGGAAAAAAAACACAAAGGGAGAGTTTATCAATAGAAATCCAATTACCAGAAACATCCCCCTATAGGACAAAAAATAAAAATAATATAGATGTATTGTACAGAGAGCAGCTGTCTCCTGCCTGACCCCAGGACGGTCAGAACCACAAGGGCAGCTAAAAAAATAACTAGTCTGGTATAAAGATCTGAATTCCATGCGTTTGTTGTGACAGTCTTATCTCCAATTTGTTTTAAAAATATATAGATATAGTTATTGCTTTCACAATCACCAGGCTGGATTCTACTGAGCGTTCAGTGAGGGAGTGTTGTAGGTTCAGGGGGGGTTGTTTTCTTCCGCCTCTTCATAAGCAATGGGTTAGATGAGTCTTCAATTTTCTTAATCTTGATTTGTTCATAATCCACTCTCATAGTGGCCAAGGCACTTGTCATTTCCTCCTAAAATGTGGGAGAAAGGGAATAAAGAAGCATTTGATTAGTGAGACAGAACCTCCATAGACTTCCATGACAAGTAAAGTTACAGAATGAAACAGCAGGGGTCCTAGAAGAAATCAACAGTTACCCATCAGATCCATATATTTAACAAGCATTATGAGAATACAACAGTTCAATGCTAGCAGTGCTTATACAGAAAGAAGTCCTACAATTCCCAGTATTCCCCAATCTAAATATGCATGAGATACAGCTCTGTGAGTATCTTCATCTCTCTCCCACACAATAAACCTTCCCATCTTGAGAGAATCTACCCTATTTCAGGGTAGGGTATTCCAGATGTTAATGAATACCCAATTTGGGATGGGACAAACCCTGTAGAAATCTCTCCCTCCAAGCATTCATGTGCTTCCTCTTGTGCTCAGCCTGGTCTTCCAAAGAGAGCCAAGCAGAGGGGAAGTCTGTAAATGCTCGCCAAGTCCTGAGTGTGCAACCAGCAACCTTCTGGGTTAGCAGCAGCAGCAACAGCAGAGAGAGTTGGCAGGTGCAGAAGAGAGATGCTGCTTGCGCAGCAGTGGCGGGAGTTGCGGGGTGGGAGGCTTTTCCTGCCAAATGCCCCATGACCGAGCACCCTATGACCAGATTTCTTCAGTGTGAGGAGCAGCTGCCTTCTGACATCTTAGACATCTTTTTATTCTCACACTTGCTTATCTATTGTTTCTCACATTTGGGATGTACTTTAAGATTGGCTTAAGAGCTTCCAGTTACTTTTGGTCACTGACTCTTGCTATACTTTCACCAATTTTTGTCCTAAATAAAGGGAATATGTTCCAAATTCCAGTTCCACTATTAGTCAATACAACAGTCCTAACTCAACCCCAGGCACAGCAGCAACGATCAAACAAATCTAAAATTGTTTTTAATAAAATATTAATAGATTTAATTTTTAAACTGTATGGTGAATAAAAAGGTTTTCTCCTGGCACCTAAAAGAAAGCAAAGAAGGCACCAGGCACACCTCACTGAGGAGCATGTTCTGCATATGGGGTGCGACCTCCGAGAAGGCCCCTTTCCTATTTGTCATCCCCCTTACTTCGGGGGGGGGGGGGCTCTAAGAAGGGCCTCTCCAGTACATCTAAGAGATTAGGCAGGGATATATGGGAAGAATCTAAACAGAAGAATCTGTTTAGGACTTGATATGTCAAGACAAGAACTTTGAATTGGTCCTGTCTCTTAACTGCAACTGAAAAAGGACTGGCATAATATGGGCAAGCAGTCTAGTCCTAGTTAGCAACCTCGCTGCCTTATTCTGAACCAGCTGAAGCTCCCAGACTGTCATCTTGAGGTTTTGGGGGGGTTTTTTTAGCATAAAAACATAGTTGGGATTAAGACTGGGAAAAAGTTGTTTGTATATCTGACATAATCTTCCAGGACCACTAATGGCTGATGGGCCCATCATCCCTCAGAACTGAAGTTCCCTCACCCTCATCCCACAGTTTACGAATATGTGAGCCGCAGCAGGTGAAGAACTTACCTTTACATCCTCCCAAAGGTCCTTCTCTTCTTTCAAAACCCTGCTAGTGTGCAGCGGCGTCTGTGGCACCTGCATTGATTGCTGCAGAAGGAAGCCAAACAGGGATTATGTCGCGATATGAAGGTGCTATGGGCAGCCTGCGCTTGTTTCTCAGCCTAAACAGCTTCATCAAGCATCAAGGAATCGTATGGCTCTTAAAGACTAATGCATTTATTCTGGCATAAGCTTTCATGAACTTGTGTTTTTCTGCTGCCTCAGTGGCCTCTGGGCATCATTACAAGTTTCTTCCAAACAACCAATAGGTGAAATCTTACCATGATCCATGGATGATTCATGAACTCTGTTATAGTCATCCGCTGAGTTGGATCTGTTTTCAGCAAATTCCGGATCAGCTGTTTGACTGAAGTGGGGTGGGGAAACAGCAGCATTATCAACAGGCTCTGCACCTTGCTAGTTCATGCCAAAACAGGATCACCATACAAAAGTAGCCAAAAATACAGACTTTTGCCTAGCTAAAGGGGAGATAAGTTATAAAGGGTGATGGCTCCAGTGTAAGTAGAAGATACTTTGGTTTATATTAACCTCCAGTGTCTCCACGAGTACTATATATAAATGATAAATACTATCACTGTAATGTCTGCAAGGCCAAATGTCAGAATTCTAGGGAGTTATTAGCTAGACCTCTAATGTAACTTCTGACATGTATATAAAAAGTGAACTCTCACTCACTTTCAAATGATATTCAAGAATTTACAACATGCTTTCCTCTTCCAAAACAGCATTTGCTCCAAGCAGCCTATAAAGCATACATTCTTAAGGCAAAGTCTTTTACATCTACCCTTATATGTGCCAAATATGACTAGGGCTGTTGACACGATCACTCCTAAGCATCCTCTCCTGCCAGGCAGAGCCCACTCTTCCCCTTGGTATACATCTGAATTGCGGGCGATGAAGCAGGCCGGGAGTTGGCTAGAGCATAGGTGGAGGAGATTACAGGATGAATCTGACCGAACACACTTGAGAGCCCATTACAGGGCCTATGCTGTGGTGGTGAGGGCAGCGAAAAAGAAATTCTTTTCCGTTTCCATTGCCTCCTCAAAATGCCATCCGGCAGAGCTTTTTTGGGTGGTAGAAGGGCTGGCCCGTCCTGGCCTTAAGAAAGATCTGGTTCCACCCTCGAAGGCCCGCTGTGATGACTGCCAAGCATTTCAGGGAGAAAATCGCTCAGATTCGTCACGAGCTAGATTCTACTAGTGATTCAGAGGCTTCTGGGGAGATACCAATGTCGCCGTCTGGTCCAAAATTAATGGATGAATTTCAGTTATTGCAGCCTGATGATGTAGACAAGGTGCTTGGACGAGTACGTCCCACCACCTGCTTACTGGACCCTTGCCCATCTTGGTTAATAAACAACACCAAGCATGGGATTGGGACCAGGATCTTGGAAGTGGTTAACGCTTCTCTGAGGGAGGGTCGGGTACCTGCCCCTTTAAAGGAGGCAGTAGTCTGACTGGTCCTGAAGAAAGCATCACTGGATCCAGAGATGGCAACTAATTATAGACCAGTGGCCAACATCCCGTTTCTGGGCAAGGTGTTGGAGCGGGTGGTGGCGGGACAACTCCAAGCACTCTTGGATGAAACTGATTATCTGGACCCATTTCAGTCCGGCTTCAGACCCAGGTACGGTACTGAATCTGCCTTGGTCACCCTGTACGATGACCTGTGCAGGGAGAAGGACAGGGGGAGTGCGTCCCTGTTGGTTCTTCTGGACCTTTCAGCAGCTTTTGATACCATCGACCAAGGTATCCTTCTGGATAGGCTAGTGGGATTGGGGGTCGGAGGCACTGCTTTGCAGTGGTTCCGCTCCTATCTCAATGGCCGATTCCAGAAGGTGGTGCTGGGGGACTATGGCTCTGCGCCATGGCAGCTATGCCATGGAGTACCACAGGGGTCCATTTTGTCCCCTTTGCTGTTTAACATCTACATGAAACCGCTGGGAGAGGTCATCAGGAGGTGTGGGCTGCGGAATCATCAGTACGCTGATGATACCCAGCTCTACCTCTCGTTCTCCACCAATCCAGGTGAGGCAGTGGCTGTGCTGAACCGGTGCCTGGCCAAGGTAATGGGCTGGATGAGGGCCAATAAACTGAAGCTCAATCCAGACAAGACGGAGGTCCTGTTGGTTGGCGGATCGGGCTTCGGGGAAGGTGAATTGAACCAAGTCCTGAATGGGGTTGCACTCCCTCTTAGGGACAAGGTCCGCAGCTTGGGAGTGCTCCTCGACCCAGAGCTTTCACTGGAAGCTCAGGTGACAGCGGTGGCGAGGAGCGCTTTCTTTCAGCTTCGGCTGATCCATCAGCTGCGCCCCTACCTGGAGTACGACTGCCTGGCGACAGTGACACACGCGTTGGTGACTTCCCGACTTGACTTCTGTAACATGCTCTATGTGGGGCTGCCCTTGAAGACAGTCCGGATACTTCAATTGGTTCCAAATAGAGCTGTCAGGCTGCTGACGGGGACTGGGCATTATGTTCACATGATTCCAGTTCTCCGTCAGCTTCACTGGCTCCCCATTGAAGTCCGGGCCCAATTCAAGGTGTTGGTTATGACCTATAAAGCCCTTAATGGCTTGGGTCCTGGTTACCTGAAGGAGCGCTTAGGTCCATATATGCCCACCCACCCCTTGAGATCAGTGGGAGAGGCCCTTCTCCGGGAACCCTCCGTGAAGGAAATTAGGAGGATAAGTACTTGGAGGAGGGCTTTCTCTGTGGTGGCACCCAATCTATGGAATGCGCTCCCCAGAGAGGTCCTCCTGGCGCCGTCGTTATTTGTTTTTCGGTGCCAGGCGAAGACCTTTTTATTCAAACGTTATTTTAATTGTTAATAGTATTTATTTATTTTATTCTTTGGCCAGGGCGACTTAATTTATATTGTTTTATAAGATGCTATTTATTTATGCTTGTGAGCCGCCCCGAGGCTTCAGAGAAGGGGGCAGCATAGAAGTTCCCTAAATAATTAAATAAATAAATATGTCTCTACCTATGTATTTCATACAGGTACGCACACAGTGGAGCTATGCCAACCTGCCACATGTACAAAATGACAAAAACATGTATATGAATATGCAGCTGCTACTGCATAATATATGGTGGCTTTCAAAACAGGGAAAATGTCTCCTGCTGTTTTCTCAGCCCCTATGCCAGGTCTAGTTGGCCAAGCGTGGTAGAAACAAGCCCATCTCTTACCATCTGCTACCAGCTTCCAATAAAAGGCATACCTTCTCCAGGGAGAGCTGCAAAAACTCCTCTGGATTAAATGAACTAATGGTCTATGTTCTTGTGTTCCATACCTACCAATTCTATCTTACCAGACATGCACTATCAAGAGGCACCTGTGGGTTCATCAAGCATGAAGACAATTATCTTTCTAATACTGAGGGCCAAATCCCACAGCACTCTTCCCTACATCTGAGCAACCCTGCCCTCTTGCAACAATACTGGCATAGAAAAACATGATGATCCAGTCAGGATTCCAGGTACTGGTCATTTTCACATGACATGACAACCCAGCCAGCAAATAAATTATGTGCCTCTGTAGAATAAGCTACCTTGATCTCTGCTTTCTCTTTGGCATTAACTCCACCCTTCTCATCTAGTAAACTGATTGACTAATGTGTTACCCATCATTAATACACTGCATAGGTCGCAGAAGACAAGCAGTCAAGTTTAGTATGTGTTATCACCCCCAATCCTCCCCTCTCAGTCCTCCTGCAGTATCCAAGGGAGCTTCCCTCCTCACAGTGACTGCTCTCCATGCCCCTGAGATTGCTTTTCATGATCTCCAATGTGACAGTCCCTTCAGAGTGTTAAGTTGCACAAGAAAGCAGCTATGCTGTTGCACTACTTTTAAAACATTGCACTGAGCTTTGCATTATTTTTGTTTTATCCATGAGTTTTTTGAGGTGCTCAGGTGTGCAATTTCAACTATTGTGAATGTGCAGTTGACCAGGCAATGCATTGGATGATGTCACCTGTCAAAGTACAAATAGGTTAATTCGTTGCTTCACTTTTCGTTTGACAACTGTCAAACAGAGAACTGTCAAATGGAAGAAAAGTCATGAAGGGGGTTTCATTGGTGAAAAGGACTGGTCTGTACATTACTCCCTTTCCAGTCATATCCTCTACTGTTAGTTTGTTTGGACCTGATTGTTCTCAGTGTCCACCATGTTTGCCATATCGTCCTGAGACTCTAGGTGTTTATTTTCAAGCCGCACTGAAGCTGGTGGTTTTACATGGATTTCTTTCTTTGTACATTCCCAATAAATGGTACCTTGGCTGTTTCCTTGGCTACAGGTCTAACATCCTGTATCTGTAATGTCTTCCAAATGCCATTTCTAGATGACAAGGGAGAATGACCAGTGAATCTTTGGAATGGAATTACTGTCATGGTGTCTGGACCTGTCTTGTAACCTTATCAATCAATACAAATATATTGGAAGCATGAGTTCTCAGTAGACAACACCTTAAACCTACAAGGCTTTAACCATTTTGTTATTGTTGGAAGGGACGTGGGCAGGCTAATTTTTACTTCCAGCTTCAGTGAGAATAAGCAACAGAGTAGATGTTCTCAAAGGATTTTTTTCCACCATAGGTAGCACCTAAAACTAGGCTTCTTCATAATGTTGAAAACAATAAACCTGTTTTCCTGCTTAAAGACCTCTTAAAACAATTATACACAGCAGCAAAAGTTGTATGTAGCATGAAGCTGAAAGTCATGTATAACAAAAAAAAAACCTGAAATCTTCTAAGAAGCTGCCTTAAATTGAACTGTACCATTGTTCCAGCCAGTTCACTGCTGTCTAAACCAGCTTTGGGAAACCTGTGGCCCTTCAGCCATTTCTGGACACCACCATTATCCCAGAATGTTCACTATGCCAGTTGGGGATGATGGAATTTGGAGGCCAGCAGTATCTGGAGGTTCAGAAGTTCCCCACCCCTGCTCTGCAAAAGCTCTTTGTGGCTCTACCAGGAGATTCCATGGACTGAACCTGGGACCTCTTGCATGCAGTCCTCTAAGATATGACCCTATCCTATTTCTTAATTAGGTAAAGGAAAGGAATAATTCCACTAAAGATTAATGGATTGCTAAAATTTGGGAGACCAGAATTATTCAGCAAGTGCAGCAAGCAAGGGATTGTATTTTTAAAATCCCATGGCATTGTAGTACCTATTTATCCCTTATGGAGGCCCAGAAGCTTCAAAGTTCAATCAAATACATATTTCTATATATATACTTTCTAGTTATGATTCAGTTACACAATGTACACATCCAAATTCTCTCAGCCAAAGTCAGTGCCCTTTTCCTTAGGTTTTTTTTTCCCCTTCAGTTGTACAATCCTTTGTTTTCTTTAAAAATTCACCATGGTCAAGAGGATTTGATCCCACACGTGAATGTGTGTGTAAGAGCTTTAATTGCAGCTTTAATTAGCTAGTTTCTTTGTGTTGCCTGCATTTTTAACTATAAATTCCATGTTAAAAAGAAAATACACACAGACACAAAACAAGCTGGGGTCATTTTCAAAGCCCTGGTTTGCCAACTTTTTATACCTCACATCCCGTTTTTCCCAACAGAACAAGAGGATTCACAAGCAGGTTTACCTTCCTCAGATACCTCAGACCACTCTGGGTTTGGAAATTCATATTGACCCATCCGGATCCGTTTCTTCATACCGGGAGAAATGGCCAAACCGTGGTTGGAATAGAAAGGGGGATACCCACACAGCCTGCATGAAAAGGGAAAAAATAGTAAAAGGGCATGCTGATTGAAAGTTCACTCTGAATATCAGTATGTGCTGATGCGCGTGTGTGCGTGCTTGTAACTAGTTTCGTTTTTCTTGCTTATACTATAAAGGCCACACAGGAAAGCTGGTCTGCTTGCAGACTCCACTTGTCACAAATGAATCATAGCCCAAATGGCAGAGCGACCATGTTTGCACAGATGGTGCAATGACAAGCATATGGCATTTATCTCACCATCCATCTACCCCTGGATGGAAAAATGGATGTGCAAATTAAGCCTTTGCTGCTGTTGTTGTTAGTCACAAAGTCGTGTCTGATAGCAAATGATTTTCCTTTTCTGCAGCATCCCCAGGAACAATTATAACTCTTGTATTTATGGAATCTGTTGCGAGCCATCCAGAGATGCAGAGTGATTGGACGGTTAGAAATAGCCCAAATAAATGAATGAATGGATGGACGGACGAACGGATGGTTGGAAATAGCCCAAATAAATAAATAAATAAATAAATGAGTAATAAAATGATTTTGAACCACTTCAGTACTTCACTTGCCTTTGTACAAAAACAAAAAAACCAAAAAAGGCAGACTTCTCCACTCCTTTTAGATTATTTAAATGGCAAAGGAGGTATTCTATCTAGGTGAGCTGTTACATGGCATTGGGAGAGTAAAAACATGAATTCATATGAGAAAAAAGAAAAGAAAAATCTAACAAACTAAATGGTTATTAAGGGGCCATTAATACTAAATGACTTTGAGAAAACATGGTTTCTCCCCCCACACCTCATATTTGTGACTATGAAGAAAAGCCAAGCATTATGGATTACAAATAAGCAGTGATTAATATCACAGCATCTGAAATAACATTTTGGCTTAACAACTGGTGCAGAGTCATCTTCAGTTGTTAAACTCTCTCCTTGCCTTCTAAAGAATGGCAGTTTCCAGTTTCAACCGAGCTCCTCACCCCTTAGGCAGCAGGTAAACAAGTATTGGTGAACCTCAGTAAACAAGCTAAAACTTGAGATCACCAGAACTATGTCCCTTACCTTGTCCCAGGCCTCACGCTTCAGCTCCGCATGAGGTCAAGGACAATCTGCCACTACACATTTGCAACTTAAGGATGAGGCAAGGCCCAGCCTTGCAGTGGCACGGGGCTTTTGAGGCCCGGCCCAGCTGAGCTGAAGAGCTTTATCATTCCCTCCAGCTCTAAACATGAACTTAGAGCACCGGGCTAGCATACTCTGAGCACCTTGGCAGCTGAAGCCTATCTTCTGGCATTGGAAAGGAAGGTTAGGACCCACACTGGAAATGGCTGCCCAGGTGCTCAAGTAGACTTGACAGTCAGTTGCCACAGTGTCAAAGCCCACACATTTCCAGCTTGAAGCTAGAGATGGGAGAAGGGCTCTTAACTGTAGTTACATTGCATGCCCAAGTGCAGTGCAACTTGGGGGACTATTCCTGACCATCACCCCTTCCCAGCTCCAAGCTGCAGAAGAAGACTGGCGAGCATGGCTAAGGGAACTGTGAAAAACCCAGGAGATACAGGTTGCAGGGCCACATCGGACCCGGTTCAAAGCCTCCAAATCATTAGAACAGGGCAGCTATGCCATGCAAAGGACAGTGGGCAAACGCCAGCTGTGTCCATACTAGGGTACTTAGTGTTGTCTCTCAATGTTCATACGGAAGCGTCCTGAACTGAGCAACCGGATAAAAGAAGAAGTATGCAGAGGTCCCCCCTGCATTCCTAATGCTGGAACACGCTACGCTCTTGCATCGCACATACAGAACAAGTGATGGTGCTAAGCAGTGCGGAGGGACAGCTTACTTACAAAATATACATGATGACGCCAAGGGACCACATATCACAAGACTTGTCATATTTCTCTGGGCCTAATACTTCTGGAGCTAAAGGGGGACAAAAAAGAAACACAAGAATCAGCTTGGTCAGATGCTAATAGGATGTGGAAGTTCAGGGGACAAACCCACCTTGCTGAGGCCTCCAATGCAGGAGCAGAGCCTCTGGCTGGCTCTGAGGAGGCGGGAAGGAAGAGGACTGGACAGAAAGGCAGGCTTCAGGGGAAGCAGTAACCATTCCATGGAGGTATGAAGCTTCCGTTTTGTCCAGGCAGCCAGCCCAAGGGAGAAGAATAATACACTCCTCCTGTGGCATTTTGAAACAATGGCTTTGGCCAAGAACAAGGGCTCTGTGGGTGACAGCTTACTCATGAGTAAAGGCCTACTCACAGGCTGGGTGGCCATGTGTCCTCTCTTATGGAGGACAGTTCACTGTTTCAAGGCATCCTCTGTTTGATGAGGCATCCTGTTCAATTCTGGTTTAAAGACCCCAAACCAAAAGAAATGTTGTTCCTGATACCACAAAGATGCTGGCAGAGCACAGAGGTTGCCTGGTCATAGTCTTCTGCACTACAGTGAGATGTACTGTACTTATCTTTAAATCATAATTCTATAGAATAGTAACATTCCCCAATATTTTAGTTGAACCTCCGAGGGGGTTAAAACCAATCCTGCAAACAGCCAGAGCACTTTGGATGAGAAAGAACCTTGGTTTGAAAGGTTCATACCCTAGAAATCTTTGTTCTCTCTCAAAACTTGCAGCAAAGTGGAATAGGTAACATCAATGAAAATCAGCAAGGTGAGACTGCATATAGGCAGATCTGTGGACAATTGCCTAGCTTTCCACTGAAAAGCACCTATCAAGGAGAAAGAACAGTGAACACAGGTGTGCCAAAAGTAAGAGGAACAACCTCATCTCCTCATCCTCTTGCCTTTAAGTGCTGAACGGATACTTACTAGTTCCCTCCACCTCTTCAGACATCCTTGAGTCTCCAGTCACCACAGAAAGAGGGAACATTGGCTCCCCCAACCTTTTTGCAGCCCCTTTGTAGAGCACTTACTGCTGTGGTTACTGTAGTTCCTTTAGAGTTCTAAAAAACCCTGGTTCCTTGTCAATCTGTTACCTACTCCACTTTGCTGGCCCCTTTGACAGCTGAAACAGACAAGGACATTGACCAGGAAAGAATATGCCTCTCAGATGGCAAGTGCACTCACACACACACTTAGGAAGGACCAACAGTCACAATAATAAATAATAATTTAACAGTTACTAACACTGCCACTGTTTTCTTGAGAGAAAAAATGATTTTTAAAGGGGTGCTCCAGAATGTCACTTGGGCATCAGTGTCACTGTTATCAATACACACGAGACCATGAAGAGTGGCAGAGCTTTTGCTCCTTTTGCTGAGTGGTTCACTAGCTAGTCCCTGTAACCCATTTTGAAATTGCTCTGCCTAGTTTGGATGACATGCCAATCCTGATGGGCCATTTAATTTAAATTATGCACTAAACGCAATGAGATGATAAAACTCATTGCTTAGAAATCCTGATCCCCATATGCTTCCCTGCTTAGGTTCCAAAACAGGAGAGTTCACCATCTCTCTGCATATACAATGCTGTACGATTCATGTCTTAGAAGGACACAATACTCTCAAGTGATTTACTTACCCACATAGTATGGCGTGTAGCAAGGTGTAGCTAGAGAGTTATGTGTGGTAGTTTCTTTAGCAAAGCCAAAGTCTGTGAGTTTTAATACAGCATTGGGCCTTTTTGAGGTGTACAAGAGGTTTTCTGGCTGCAAGAGAACACAATCATGGTAAGAAAAGTCAACATTCTGCACCACCTTCAAGAGCCTAGCTAGGGAGATAGTAGGACTCAGTATATTCTATTTATAACAAATTTGAAAAATATGCTGATGCAGAGACTCACTTAGCATTTATTTATTTATACATTTTCTCCTTGTACCTCTGTCAAAAATTGTCCCCCAGGCAGTTTTACAATCATGTGAAAACAAGTTAAATAAAAGAACAGGAAAACAACCAGTAAAGAAAGCTGAGAAGAATAAAAATTGGAGGCTATCAACGTCAACAAGAGTAAGCTCAAACAATTCAGCTGGTATTTTAAAAGAACTAAGAAAATGTCTTTGACTGGCAGTGTAAAGATATGAAAGTGGAACAACCTCCCTGGTCAAACAGCAGAGAAGGAAGCAAGGATGCAATGTTACATGTATTGGTTCACTGTTAAGGCTGCATGCATGGCATTTGTCTGGGAGTAGCATGCTAATGATATACAACCATTTGAGTATTGTGAACACGTGCATGAACATCCACGCAACTGAGTGAGAATGTGAATGGCTGCGTGTATTTTAGAGAGTGAAGGAAAAAGACACAGAGAAGGTACAGCCAAAAAACAAAACCCTTCCTATCTGCAAATGTACACAAGATTCTACTTCTCTCAGAGTGTATATCTATATTATTCCAGACAGCACTTTGCTTCTTGAATGAAAATAAAATACATTATGGACCTAAAAGACAGACGTGTGTGCAGAGCAGAGAGCCATCCACGCATCTGCACCTCGGCTGCAGACAAGCTGCTGCTCAGCTGAAAAAAGAAAACCAGTGCAAAAGCAAGGCTCACCGTGTTCACAGCATCCGCTTTTGTGTATACATACCCATCCTTGCTATTCTTAATGTATACAATATGAGGCCGTGCTTGTGCACATATAAGGGCACATGTGGCAGTCAAGTCAAAGAGAAACAAGTGATGACCTGGTTTCCCAGTGAGGAAATTCACTTAGGACAGAAAACATGCTCTGCCACAAACCAAATGAGGAATGGCATTAACCTGGGTAATGAGGAATTATGGAACAGGCAAAGAAGGGGAAACCACACCAAGCCCACAGTGTTGCTCCAGGGATGCTGAGTCTTCATTATGACAATTAGATCTTAGCAGCTTCCTCTCATTCTAACAATGAAGTTGGCTTTTTAAGAATAGACAGACAAAGAAAACATCATGCTTTTGACACCCGGAAATCTCTTCAGTTATGACAAAACACATAAAAGCATACTGCAAATGAGGATTCTTAGCATGAATAGTCCATGGGGAATTTTAATCAAATGGAATCATTAACTGTCTTAGGAATCATAGAATCATACAAAAGCAGAGCTGGAACCGGCCATCAGGACCAACACCCTGATCAGTGCAGGACTCAGTTAAACCACCCCTCAGATGGCTGTCCAGCTCTATCTTGAATGCCTCCAGTGTGGCAGAGCCTATAGGCTCCCTAGGTCATTGATCCCATTGTTGTACTGCTATAATAATTAGCAAGTTCATCCTGATGTCTAGTAGCCGGAATCTGGCTTCCTGTAACTTGAGCCTATTATCCCATGTCCTGCATTCTGGGATGAATGAGAAGAGATCCTGGCATTCCTCCTTGTGACAACCTTTCAAGAATGCTATCATGTCTCAATTTTCACTTCTCAGGGCTAAACATGCCCAGTTCTTTCAATCTCTCCTCACAGGGCTTTGTTTCCAGCCCCTGCATCATCCTTGTTGCCCTCTTCTGAACCCTTTCCAGCTTGCCCAAATCCTTCCTAAATTGTGGTGCCCAGAACTGAACACGGTACTCCGGATGAGGCCTAACAGTCCTGAGTAAAGAATGATTTCTTCAGTAATACCTCTATCAATGCAGCCTAAAATAGCATTTGCCCTTTTTGCAGCCACATCACATTGTTGACTCACATTCAGCTTGTCATCTACAGCAATTCCAAGATCCTTCTCACCTGTGGTATTGTTGGGCCATGTATTGGTTTCTTTTTCCTAGAACTTGGCATTTTTCCTCTACTGAATTTCATTCTGTTGTTTTCAGCCCAACACTGCAACCTATTAAGATCACCTTGAATTTTCTTTCTGTCTTGCAGGGTACTACCTATCCCACCCAGTTCTGTGCCACCTGCAAATCTGATCATCATTCTCTGAACCTCCTCATCCACAAGGAGTTGCACAACTGGGGTGCTGCCCCACAGAAGGCTTTGATGGGTCTCTACCAAAAACTAGCACCTTGAATTGGGCTTGGAAGTTGATTCAAGGCATGTCTTATACAGTCTATAAAACACACACCAGAAAAAAAGAATGGCTGCCACATTTTGCACTAGCTGTGGTATCTGAATATTTTTCAAGGTCATCACCTGCTTTCATTTCAGTGCTGGAGCGGTGTGAATTGTACTTAACCATGAACTGTAAGATGATGATACAATTAAATAATTCAGTTCTACACCCACCAAGCCAGTATTCAAAGAATTAATTACCCATCCATACTATGTTCCCAGCCTGGCTTGCTCCCACGCCAGTAATCTGTCTGTGTTTTTCTTAGGAAATATAGAGTCACCTAAAGCCAGACTTGACTCATGTCTCATTCGGCCTCTGGAAACAACTTTCATTTGGACAGAGTTGTTGGAAATGGTTAATAAAGTTCTGTGAACTGATTGGCAAAGGGTACCTTAACATCCCGGTGTGCAATGTTGATTGAGTGTAAATACTGAATGGCTTCTCCGATGCTCTTCATGATTTCAGAAGCCTCTGGAGAAGATAAGAAAATAAGCAATGGTCTCTCAGATTTTAAAAAGAGTTACATAGAACAAAGACACAGGCAAATTTCAGAGCAGAAGTAAGCATTATACGGATTGTCCATGAAAGCAACAGTCCCATGTCATGTCCCTTTGGAACATATTAACAACTTATGACTAGCTTTGATATTGTTATACTGCATGCTTAGTACACCTTTTGCATACCATTTGTGGCTGCTGGGAGAACCAGGAGAATATAGTGTCATGTTTCTTACAGTGATTTCATACAGATAATCCTCCAGTCAGTAGTTGTAGGTATCCTGATGTCCTCCGGAAGTTTTGGACTATAGCCATAATCTCCCATCATTGGTTCTAGTGCTGATGAGTTGTATTCCAAACATCTGGAGTGCATTAGGTTATGGCTTCCCTCTAAATTTTGATTTTAGGGATACCCACACTTTGCTATGACATCTAAATCAACGGATCATGTTAAACACTTGCCTAAAATCAGAAACCCATGATTCCAAGTGTGATCTCTTATTTTGGTTTATTCTTTAAATCAGAAGAGTAAGTGCCAAGCAAACAGTTCTCACATAAGACTCTGGCTGTATCATGAAGAGGTGATTCTGGGGACAATTTCTTAAAAAGACATTTGAGGACTGATGGTGCTACAGGCAACATCCACTGGTCCTTTATGCTGCCACCTGTGATGGTGGTGGCCTGACAAACTGACAAATAGCACTTTCCCCGCTGCAAATTGTTTCCCAAGGCATCCCTGAGGTGGGGATGGCAAGATTGCAATCACCAGTCTGAAGCATTGCTAGGGAGAGGAATGGCAGCTGCTAGCCAGCAGTCCCCAGTTAAAAAGGCCCGCACTGCTGCCAACACAAAAGCGAAGTTCCCCTGAAATTCTTTAAGAAAGTTTACCCTTCCAGAACAGAGTTGTTCACTGCCTGTGAACAGAGTGGGAAATTTGGGGGAGCAGCATTCATGCATAGCAGTGAATCACACTTTTGATCACACTTTTGCAATGTTGACATCATGGCAAACTTTATCTAGCACTAAGTAGAAAACCAAAAGGCAAGGAGCAAGCAAGCCTTTGTCTCTTTCACAGTCCTGAAATTAGAGGTAAACCAATTCTTTTCACTACAAGGACAAGGGCTTTTGTTTCTGTTTTGCCAAAAGCACAGCAGGGTTTTTCTTTTTCTTTTCTGAATCAGCTTATTCCTACAAATCAAGGCTTATTAGCAGCCTTGATTTGTAGGAACCCAAACAAAGACTTGTTTTTTGTGCTGCCAGGACAACCCAATATCTGGTCTCATAGGATGCCATGGGTGATTGGCTCTGATCCTGATCCAATATACTGCTTCTGACTCAAGCCCCCTGTCCACTCAGCAGTAACTATCGCACTATTTGCACTTGGTTCCTGCTGGTTTTAACATACTACTACTACTAATAATACTAATATAAAAATTAAGTGGATCCAACAAGGACGAGGTCTGCTCACACCTGTTCTAAAGCATGGTTTGCAAAATAAAATGAGACAATTTAGCCCTTAAAAAGTCTTCCCTCACCTCCAGATGTGTTGGAGAGAAATTCCCATCATACCCAGCTAGCCTGACTGTCCAATTGATTGGGAATGATGGGAGCTGAGGTAAAACATGTCTGAAGTGCACTAAGTTGGGAGAAGGCTGTCCTGGAAACCAAGCACTTTTGTCTGAAGTGTTATGGCTCTTCACACACCGTAAAGGCACAACATAGTAGTGCTTGTGCTAAGCTTTGTGAAATCTGTGGTATCACCTCATACCTCTTTCTGTGAAAGCCTGGTCTCCTCTGTCTTGAATTCGGCTGAAGAGTTCCCCACCATCCAAGCTGAAAGTCACAACCAAATTCAGTTACAACATGACTTACTGGCTGCATAAGCAAACCGGGGCTGTCAGACTAATGCTAAATGCATGTTAAGACATGTTCTGACCTCCAGTGATAACCTGCACAGATGAAAAAAGGATCACAGACCAAACACCACAGCCTGTGCTTTCATACTGCCTGTGAATATTCCAAACAATACTTTTTAATCAGTTCACACATCCATCTGCTGGTCATTCACTGATACCTTACAAACTTGTACAAATCAGCCCTTGGACTGAAAGGGGTTTCATCAGGTGTCACCCCCTCTCCCTGCCCAAAAGTCCAACTGTGGAAATTTGACTTTCTAAATAGATTCCACTGGCACCGACAGAAGCTTTGTTAGAAGCCTAATTGTGCAGAAAAGGGGTGATTTTAGAGGAGAGACCACCATTTCTGCACAGGGGGCTTAAGGCCATCTCAAATTAAATATGACAGATGGCACAATTTAAAATGCTCTAGTATATAAATTCCCATGTTTTCAGTCATCCCAGGTTCATTCCAACTCTAGCTAAACTTGGCATTGATCTTAACATGGAACCCCCTGCCAAGGGAGGGTTTGTTGGCCGAGATTCCTGTCAGCATGCCAAGACATTTCTATATTGTCAGCCTCTGTGGTATAAGTGAGCCTGCTGAGTTGAAGGCTGTTTTTATTCTCTTTATGCACAGGACTAACTCTGAAGACCACTCAGAACTTTTGACTTGTTCATACATGGTTCTGAGACTGCTAACCTTATTACCCCATAATGAACACATTGCATGAACCTAGCAAGATTGAAACTGGGTTCCAGTGTGCTTCTGAGCATAATTCAAGGTGCTAGTTTTGACTTACGCAGATTGGGCTAAGGGAATCTGAGAAACTTCACTAGAAAAACTTATTTTATCATATAGTCAGAATTATATAGCTATATATTATAGTTATATTTTAATGCGTTGCTATGCTCTGGGTATAAGCTGCCTTGAGATCCACCTGGATAAAGGAGGGATAGAAATGTTTTAAATATTTGCAATGCTCCCCCAATGGAGATTCGCCTGGCATCTTCCCTACTTTCTTTCTGGCACCAGGTGAAGACCTAAAAAAAAAAAAAAATAGCTACTTGTCACAAGACCTTTGTTTTTGCTTTGTTTTGTTTTTGGATCTATTTCATTGTCGTTTTAGTAAACTTGAGGTTGGAAAGAAGCCCTTGACATTATAATAGCTGTATGCATTAGGTCTGCTGCTTTTGTGGCTAGGGCTGTTATATACAGGCCTGAACAGAGAAAACCCATGCATATCCACTGGTTGAATACATGGTGATAGAAGCACAGGAGTTCTTATGCGGTTTCTGGATTTCTTTCTTCCAGTGAGCCTGGCATTGTACTAGACAGCCGACAAGTCACCTTCCAGAGCTGTGATTCCAGCTAGGAAGTTCCAAGTGAGCAGCAGCAAACTGCATGGCTTGCTTCATCCCAGCAAGCAGCATCACTCACCATTCCATGACTATCAGGAGGCATTTCCGACCCTGGTAAAGGTTTTCATAAACATCCATAATCTTCACGATATGAGGGCACTGGGATGCCCTCCAGTGGAGCTCCACTTCCCTGCGTGCTTTTGGACAGTCTTGCAGCATCTAGAATAGGGAAAGCAAAAGGAAAAAATGTGAGCTCATCCCCTGCCCTCTGCCGCCACTAAACTTTTATTAGCACACCTGTTAATACCATCCTTGACTGACAATCATTAACTACTGATAATCATTACACACAGTTTACTGCAGGGTAGAATCTGCTTCATGAGATACTTCCTTCCCAGATTTGGATTCCCTATAATTTATGACAGATGTGCTTCTGAGAAATATGGCATCCTTTGCATAGCTTATATTTCTCATGTTCACAATGGTGAGGCAGATCATAACTCCATTTTACAGTCTGAGGCACAGAATGTAATATATCTGAGTGCATAAGTGATGACTGCATAGCTAAGAAGGTATATGAATCCAGGTCTCTCAGGTTTGAGGATGACTCTAGGTTGTGTTGTGTTGTGGGCACCTTGAAGATTCAACTTTCATCTTCCCAGACAATTGACCATGAAGGTTTGGGCTGATGAGAATTGTAATCCAGCAACGTCTGGGGATTGTCCCCTCCCTTGAACTCTGAGATAACACTGTGAATCCAATGTATGTAAGAGCCAGTTTTATCCTTAATTCATGTATTGCCTAATGATGTATAATAATTGATATAGTCACTCAATAACACAAATTTTCTGGGTGTCTAAGAAATACAAAATTAAAATGCAATGTAAATCAGTACAAATTATTAAAATAAAAACATAATTGAAACATAGATTTTAAAATGAAAGGCCCACACATGCTATTTTATCTCTGACTGATAGCTGAATGCATGAGCTGACCCCACTGACTGAATTTAATACAATATGAAGTCTCTTTTGGTTTGAAATGCATTAGCTATTTTATACAAACAGACACATACACCACCACCACCATCATCAAGTTATGAACATAAGATAGGTTAAGCAGATCAATGCAATCATTACTACTGATTCTGCTAGAATATTTATATTTCCCCCCAACTTATCCCAGGAGCTTTAGGATAGATTATTGTCTAGCCTACCTTGTCTTCTCCCATCCCAAGCAACCATCAGAAAAGCAGAAACATGGCCAAATGCCTCACTGAGAGCTTCACAAACAAGCAGGGATTTGAACTACTTTATCAGCAGACAGCTGTACCATGAGGGGTAAAATAGCAGAGAATCTATGTATAAAGCTCAAATTCGCCATCTAGTGGCAGATAAGTGCAACCCCTGCTGCTTAGTTGCCAGAGGACTCTAGATGCAGGTTGTTACAGTTAAGCAGATATCAGGTATGAAAGTTCCAGTATGAATGTAATATGGGAAATTAAAATGCCCCATTTGCAGATCTGAATTGTTAGTTTACTGATTAAAGTTGTATTTAGAAAAATATTTAGCAAATAAAGAAGCCCTATTTGAAAAATCAAAACAATAAAGGAAAAAATTTGTTGCTGTTTGTTTGTTGCAGCTAGGCTGGTCATAGGCAAAGGAAGACATAGTAACATGCAAGTCATCTCTGCAGCAATTTAGCTATTGAATCTTCCCAAACAGGCTCCATGCAACACAGAGCCAATATATATGATGCACAGAAACCATGTAAAATAATGGCCAAAACATGAGCAGAATGGGTAACTTGATAGTTCCTAGCTTGAGCCTCGAACACAAAAAGCTGTCACTATGACCTGGTCCACATGTAAAAAGAAGCCATAGGTTAGACAATCCATGACATGGGCTGCCATACATAAGCGGGAAAGAGCGGACACACTGCCTAAAGTATGCCTACCATTTCCATTTTTACTTAGCAACCTATATTCAGTTCCTTCATAGGTTGCTAAGTGTGTCATACACAGATTGCTGTGTTGGTTAGGAGTTAAATACCCGGGGGAGATTAAACGATTCCATTGTTGGGTTACCTGCTAGGCTAAACAACCCAGCACTAAGCACCTTATGGAAGAGCCAGTCATGCATTGCTGAATAAAGTGGAAGGCAGGCATCAAGGAAGAGGGTATCCATTTTCTCCTGCTTTTTAACCCATGGGCTGTGTTTACATGTGAAGTGGCCCACTCAGTACTTTTGGCTCTATCTACACCAAATCCCCAAATACTTCTGCTGCCAGTGGGTCAAAATGAGAAAGAGGTAATGCTCCCAGTAACTTTGGGAAGAATCCAAGAGAATGCTTCTACAAGTGGTACAGATGTTTTGCTAACATAAACCACTGCCTACACAGTGCAACTATCACACAGTCAGAAGAAGCAATTCACTGTCAAAATGTAATAGTAATGCCAAATTTGGCAGAAAGCCACCACCCTTCTCAAAGAGCTAGCTATGTAGTGCAGGCAGCGGCTTATATCAGCACAATGTCAATATGTCCACTGGTGCACCTTGCATGACAAGCTAACCCTATTGAAATACCCTCTTCTGTACAACTATTAAAGGAACAGGGGCTCAGCCCTCTTTCTCACTTGGCCATGCTAAGTTCCACTCCCGATACCTTAAAAGATGCTTTAAAAAAAAAAAAAAAACTTCCTAAAACTTTAGTGTCCTCAGCAAAATTGGCCACATCACTACTTACTACTAATTCCAGATCATTTACAAATACGTTGAAAAGCAACAACAAACAAGACAACAAGAATAATAAGAAATATGCAAAGAGTAAGTGAAGGCAAATGAACGGCTCTAGGGCTGGTGGTCAGTCGGTGGAAAGACTACTGGGGAAATGGCAGGCACTTCGCCCTTTATCGTGGGGAAGGGGTGCGGAGTTCCCGCCAAAATCCGTTAAAACTTTGAATCTTTCCCAGCTGCAGGCACTGCGCAGGCGCAGCACCCATAATGTGCGATGCACAGAGGCCACAGCGAAGAACACTACTTACTACTAATTCCAGATCATTTACATATACGTTGAAAAACAATTGCCCTAATACAGAACCTTGTTGGACTTCATTAGTGACATCTCTCCACTGGAAGAAATCACGTGCCGTCAGGAAATTTGGTCACCTTATTTATTTATTTATTTATTTATTTATTTATTTATTTATTTATTTAAAACATTTCTATGCCGCCCCATCGCAACAAAGCCTCGGGGTGGCTCACAACACACAAATATTTCCTTCTATGCCACATATATTGTCACATCAGCAAACTCAACCTACCCTAATGCTACTGTTCTGCAAGAGAGTCCTTTTGGTCAGCTTTGCATTCTGCCACAGAATACATAGGCTTTTTCTGCACAGAACAACAAGCATTAATATAGGTTGTTGTTGAATCAAGGGCAGTCAGTGAATCATAGGTGGCCATCCCATGCAAACTTTGTATTATGTTGTTAACTATGAACAACCCAGGAAGAGAACCCATGGTTTGTTGCTGGATTGTGAACACTCCATTGTGATCAGCAATCCACAGTGAAACAATGGTGCAGGGATTGCATGTAACAACAATCCATAATCAACAACAACCCATGATTCAATGACAATCCATACTTAACCCATAATGAACCCATACTCTGATTTTTGTTATTAGTGAACCAAGTCCATGCCTCTGAATAGAAATATGTTCAGCTTATCCAGCAGGAGGAGCCCATTACTTCAAACATGACCATTTCCTTTCTGTTTCCTAGAAAATATTTGTCAGCCCAGCAAGCCTTCTCCTCCTCACATTTGTCTGTGGCAAACTATTACTTAGCATGGGAGCATAAACAAGGGAGAGTTAATTATGCATGGCAGGGTTGTAAATATAGGAAGTCAAGGTGTCTAAATGTGAAGTTGTTCTAGTCTGTCTGATGGAGCCTAGATGGATATAAATCTCTTTTCATTTTCTAGTAGCAACCGACAAAAAGTCAAGAACGATTCATAGTTGAACAGTTAATTTAAGTTATACTGCTGAAATACTGAAACCTTAGAATAACCAGGAGTGCATGTTTTCTGTATTAGGACTGAGCTGTATTCAGTTCAGGTAGGTCCTGAGTTCACTGGTCAGTATCCAGCAATGCGGCTGTGCCACCACACTCTCCCTGGGACTGCCAACAGGCCCTGCTATCCCTACCCTCCTGCCTCTGCACAGCTGTGTGAGAAGCACTGTTCACAGGGCCAGAGGAAGAACTCTTCCAGGCAGAAGTCCACATGTCTTCCTATAGGAAAATCTACCCGGCAGGACATGCTTCCTGGCACAGGAGCCCGTGCTGCTGTCCAGGCAGTTCATGGCAGTGTGTGCATAGGGGAGTGTGGCTACATGTGCAAGGGAGGGGAAAGAGGTGTGGCTGCAGGCAGTATGCTTGTATGTTGGCACAGAGCAAGGAACTCTGGTGTTACTGCAGCTCTTCTAGAGAATAAGCAGGGGAACAAAGGCAGCTGGCTGAGGCCACACCTGAGGGAGAGTGTGTGCCAGTGAGGGGAGGCAGGCAGGTGCTGTGCACAATATGCTTGATTTTCAACTGTGGGGGATGATGGGATCCATGCCACCATTAGGAAGAAAGGTGGAGGAAGGTGGAAGCCACCCATGCATGGAAACCATGCACCTGTCTGAACCTTGGTCCAAAGGTAAGATATCACACCACGTGGGTACAACATGGCATGGTTTAGCATAATGAGCGAACATAGCCACTGAGTAAGAAGATGCAAGCTGGAAGATTAGGGGAGGCTTGAGGTCCCTGAGTTCCAGCTGAAGCCTCTTTATTCCCCATTACAAGTATTGCACTCCTGGTTTGAACTGGAGAAGCGCACTTTTAAAAACTGCATCCCTGCATATGTACCTTTCCCACTGATTATGCTTTTTAATCATTAAAGCATAAAAATGCAGTTTCCCAAAATGTGCATTTTAAAAGTGCAGATTTTTTTCTGAAGTTTTCATTTTGTGAGGAATATGCAAGCTTTGTCCACAAATTGTGGGTGTTACATTTGGGGATGCAAATGAGGCAGACTTCTGATCTTCTATGAGTTTAGGGTACAAACATTTGCATTGCTAAGTTCACTATGTAAGAAAGGAGAGGTGGGGGAATGGAGATGGGTCAGCTGCATTCTCCCGTTAACCACATGTCAGCATTGCCTGTTGATG